AACTTGGCCAATAACTGACAGCCCAATGCAGGGCCATAGATAAGCCCTCGCCTCCCGTCCTCCCCCCTTCTTCGTTGTGTCGGCAATGAAAACATTAATTATTTCTGGTGTAACACCAATTCAACCAACTTTCATGACAGCCGGCGAACAATGGCAGCGATGACTCCATAACGAGCATAATTAAGCCACACAATGTGCATTTAAATTATAAATTAATTGAGCATTGAGTGTGTCTGCGGGGCAATGGCAAAAAACAAGTAAATAAAATATTGGAAAAAACAATACAGAACTGCAAAAAATGTAAGAGTAAACAAGTGTTTTAGGGGGAATTATTTTGGACTTTAGTAAAGCTTCTTTATTAACTGATTTGTTTAAAAATATCTCAAGATAAAAAATAATGTAGTAGCATTCGATTTAATTTGAAAAACAATGTTTTTTTTATTTAAAAATTATATTAAAAATATATATAATTATATTAAAAATATAATATCAATAAAACCCTCCACTAATCCTATTATTAGTGGCAATAACATTTATATGAGTTCAATTCGAATAATTAACCAGGGACTTGCTATTTTTATGTACATAAAAAAAAAGAAAATCCGCAAAAAACCCAAAAAAAAGGCCACCCTAACGAGGCTCCATTTCATGACACATTTTTCACAGCAAAACGCTGACAATTCAATTGAAATGCAACTTCGATGGGAGGAGTTGCAGAATTCGAGTTGCAATTTCGCATAGCTGTCATCAAGGATCCGCCCGTACCCGAAAAACCAACAAAAAAAGGACTAAAAGAGGAACAAAATGCTGGCAAACGAAATTAAAACAAGCAGCAGGATCTGCAAAAAAAAAGAAACTATATATGTATATACGCCAGTAATGGAATCGAGTAGGGAGGTTAAGGGGTTGTAAAGCAGTCAAAAAAATGCAAATATGTATGCCAATGTAAAGCAGAAGCTGCAACCGGGGTACCATCATATAACAGTGCTCCAGTTCTTTTTATTTCTTATTTTTTTGTTTCCTCCTCCTGTTAACCATTCAAAAAAGACAATGAAAGGACGTAAAAAATGTACGACTAAAGGGGGAGTGGCTGGGTGGGTGATAAAGAAGAAGAACCCTACTGAATGACATGTCTGAATAAAAAGGAAAAAAAAAAAACAAAACAAAGGAAATGATGAGAGTGTTGATGGAAAGCAAGGACGAAGGACCTAGGCAATGCACTTGCCGAACGTAGAAAACGGGGTAGAAGATAATGCCAGACCAAGAGGAAAGGACAAGAAATGGTAAGGATTTCAAATAAAAAACTGTTCGAAAAGAATAGGGTTAAATGGGTGTGGGGAGGAGATATATTTAATTTAATTTAAATACGTAAAAAATATACAATTAGAGAGCAAACATAAAAAGAGAACGAAAGGAGACGGAAAGCTTAAACGGACAAAATTGAGAGTATCCTTTATTCATTTTATAGATATTGGCTCCTCCTTTTTTACCACAATACTTTTACTAATTACAGAGTTTATTTTTACATGAAATGGACTACATATTTAAAAATATATATACAAATCAATCGCTTATTGCAAGGGTATACAAACTAAGCTAGCTTAAAACAAGAAAGGTTCTTTCCCCAATTTTATTCATATATTTTTCACAATATATACATTAAATTGCGCATATCGTTAGCATTGTGAATATTCTCTTTTGTGGGCTTTTCATGTATTTGCATCCTCTTACCTTGTACATACATATATGTATATATGCATGAGGGGAATGCAATATAAAAAGCGAAATGCCAATAAAATATTGACAGTCAGTTGACCAAAAACGTAGCCAACAGAAAACTTTGTGTAAACACAGCCCCGCGGCAAACCATGAGTTTAAGCCACCATCAATGAGAGAGAGAAAGACACAGAGGGGCAACGCAGCGTATACGTTATTTATGGAAAATCTCTTTTGCATATAAACTGATTTTGTTGCCTTCCCAATGCTTCTTTCACTCCGACAAGCTGCAATCGGACGCTCATTAGCCGATTTTGCAAAGGCTTAACTAGATGCCAGAAACATAAATTACAGGCGCAACTCGCAGGATGTTACAATAAACAGATTTATAAATTGCCGGCAACAGCCAGCAGCTGGCCATTATTTATGGCCAGAGCAGGTTGACAGACAGTTCCCCCAACCTTCCAGAATACCAGACTGTGCATACAGGTTGTGAAGTTTACCCCAACCTTTTTATTTGTTTTCCTTTTTTTTCGTTACTCGCTAATTGGCATTGGCTTACTTCTGGCCGGTTTCCAATGTCCATGGAGGTTTTCTTTTGAATTACATTTTCCTTCTTTTTTTTTTTTGGCCCAGTTTTCTGAGCACTTTTTAATTATTTACTTTGCGGCCGGCCTCCTTGAAGTTAACCGATGAAACTGATGGGACGGAGCCGCACACCTGCGGCGCAATTTTCTGCACTTTGCTGAATTTTTTCTTTCAGCTTTCAGCATCTTGGCGTCTTATCATTTATCAGCAGTTGGGGAAGATCAAAAGCGAAGGTGAGCCATCAAAAGCAGGGATATATATATATATATGTGTGTATATACTATATAGCAGCTCTGCAATTTCTCACCGTCGCCTCGTGTGACCCCTCCGAAATTTTTATCTAAGCCGAGTGAGTCTGTTATGTGGGTCGAGGAGCTGCTCCTCTTCTTGGCCAAGCCATGCCATTTGCCCAAATGAAACTAATTTTGTTGATTGTACACTCGCGCGCTGGAGGAATGGCAAGGAATGGAATTTAGTGGAGTGGAGAGAGCACCAGCAGATGCGAAGATGCGAAGCTTTATAGCCATCGACAGTTGATATATGGGCGGTGGTGGGGGCGTGGCTTAGCGTTTTAGTGGCTGCTGTCAGTTTAGAGAAATCTCCTCAGTCTCTTTTGGTGGAGTATATATGTTACTTTCCCATGAAAAGTTTACCTAAACTAAATTTTTAATAAATTAAATGCTTAGAAAATCTTGCAATAAAATGATTTAATTATTTGAAAGACCTTTAACCTTTAGTAATATTATATAAATACTCTTCCAATTACAGGGTACAATAATTGCTGTAGCACTTTGCTCTAACAACCATTTCTCGTATTTCTTGTGTGTCCCGTCAAGTGAAGTTGTTGAAGACAATTGAGCTGTTGTGAAATTATCTTTAATTGATTGAAATCTCTTTGTCTCAATGGGCGGCAAAATTACCTCAGTTGTGTCGAGCTATCTAATCGGTTCCAATCAACAATATATATATGTAGTTGCTGCAATCAATCGGAATCGGTCTGTCAGGGGACATCATCAATGGAGTTATTTCCATTGTCCCTGGCGAATTATCGGTTCCAGCGACTGCCTCTCGTCTGCTGCATTGCTCTTTCCTTTTATGACATTTTATTATACCAATTAGAGTTTTCTCTTTTGCATTGTCTCAGCCAGGCTCCTCCCGGGTCCCATTGTTCCCTCCGGAGTCCGGATAAAATTTGCTCGTTTCCTTTCTTCTCCTTTGTGTGTTCGCCTCTTTATTCCTGGCCTTCTCTCTCTCTCTCTTGCCTTGGCTTACACCTATTTCATCTGATGACTGCTCAGAATTTACGGCTCTCGATTGTGTTTTAACATTTATTCATGGAGTGTGGGGCAAGTGGGACTGCGGACCGTGTCCTGAATGTGTCCTGGTGCCACTTCACTGGCGACACTGGCAACACCGGCAAAACACATTTCTCAAATGTTGCAACACTTGTAGTAGTTGCCCGGCACACAAATGACATTTACATTTTGAGCACATAATGTTGGGTGAATTCGTAGCTACTAGTTTTATTTTTTGTATATTTTCTCGTTGCCATTTTCTGCTTACCTGTGACCAGTAGGGAGCCCCCTTGGCCTGTAGTATTTTTTTCGGGCGATAATTGCACACGGCGTCGAGCACTCGACAACAGCAAGTGTCCTACAAGTTGGATGCTGCTGCTGCTGCGACTACTCCTGCTGCTGCTGCTGCTATTTCTCATGTTGCTAGCAACTAACAACTTCCTACTCTTGGAAAAGAACCTTCATGGCTTTAATTTCTGCTGCGACAAGCAAATTTTCATACGATACACTTGGGAAAAGAAAAACACTAGGGATAGTTATAGAGAGGAAAAATAAATAGACAAAAATATCGCAATTAAAGCGATTAACCGAAAGATGAATACTAATTTTGTTATCATCATTGAAAAATCTTATAACTTAAATCCCTATTAATTAATTTTAATGGCTCCTCTAATCCTAGTTCTATTTATTTCTATATATTTTATTCAATATTTTTTTTTTTACTGTGCACCCTTCCCCGAAGGCAAAATAATCGACTCGAGAAATGGCAGCCAAATTAAAGGCAGAAATCCTGGCCAACGGCTTAGGCCGTTTATCAACCGAACTGACCAGCAGCCTGACAGGCAATAAATTAAAGGACCTGAATATAAACAGCTGATACAGTTGGTACTCCCGCACCTCCTCCTCCCCAGAGGTCGTCCAAATAAAAGCTCACTTCAAAGAGTTCGCCGGGGCAAAGCCGCTAAAGTCTGAAAATGCTGAGAAAAAGGGGGGCTTTAAAAGTGTTGGCAGCAAGGCAAAGCCACTTTAGACGCATGTGATGTGATGATCAAAGCGCCAGAAACAAGCCGAGGGCGAACTTTATTGAACGAACTTTGCTACAAAGCCACCTGTAACCCTAAAAGGGTCAGGGAAGTTGCCAAGTGGCAGTGGCAAAAGGCAGATTGCGGCCTTAAGTGGCTGAAGCGCAAGTTGGATTACAGATAAATCAGCATCAAGATGAGCAGCTCTAAAAATAGATATAGAGAGAAAGAGCGTGTTGCCAAGCGGAAGACTAACAAGATTATGCAGTTTACGGAAAGTTGGAGCGAAAAACTTTACTTGAAGCCAAAGTCCAGGAAATGTCACAATCGGTTCCAGTTGCCAGCGAGACGAATGGCATTAGGCCATGAATATATAGAAAAAACAGTCACTTTTCTCAGTATATAGTAGACAGTCATGACGTTCATTTCGCTGACTTTTGTGGCACTCTTGGCCTTTGGCTCTTTGGTTATAACCCAGGCAGAGGGTAGGTAAATATATTTACAACATATTAAGAGCTTAATAATTTATTAACCAACAGAAGAATGTGGAGCCTATAATTCCGATCTATGGAAAGAGGGTATGGAAGCCAGTGAAGGCACTTGCAGTCGTCGTCCCACTCAGAATGTTGTAGAGGACAGCCAGGAGGAAGGCGAAGAGAATACGAAAGTGGCAGGCTCTTCTTTCTTTGACATCATTCAGACTGTAATCAACTTTGTTTGGATGATTTTTAAGTGGTATACGAATATGAACGGTTAATAAAGAAGATAAGGCATATCAGAGACAAATCAAACTGCATTGTTTTATATTCTTCGCCTGTAGGACATATCAGGAGTCATGTTTTTCTTCCCTTTCCGTTTCTTGGCCATTGTTTTTGCGGCTTTGTTTACACGGCTCTGTGTTCTGTGAATGTTCCAGGCAGTCGCACTCTTTTATTTCTTCGGCACTTTTCTCCTTTTTGTACTCTGGCTGCTGCACTGCACTTTGCAATTTAAGTTATGAAAAACGATTCGTTTGGCTTTGTTGTTGAATTTGCGATGCTGGATTGTGGCTTTTGTTTGTGTTGTTGCTTTGCATGCATTTCACATGAGCCGGCAGTTGCCGCTTTCCATTTGGTTTATTGCGAATTTTATTGTTTTACGGTAGTTGATGGCAAATGCCGTACACTGAGCCGTGTAAATATTTGTTCTAGGCCCTCTCACTCACCCGCATCTGTGTTTCGTTTGAGGCCAATTTGTACAGACACAGAAGCCGGAATACAAACGTGGCTTAAATATGCACAAGTTGATAAAGTGAAATGTTTGCCGGCTGGCTGGGCCATTTCAATCAGTGTTATGCTGACGACCAAAACTATAAAAAGGCTGAAGGCATGTGCATATATAGGAGTAATATGATACGTTTTCATATAGATGACTTTATTTAAGGCAACGGGTTAATTGGAGGCATTAAATTTAATTAGTTTTTCTTTATAAAAACAATTGTAGAGTGTTTGTCATTAAATTTAATTTGTGAAAATTTCTTAGGGAAAAAAGTACAAACAAAACAAATAGATTTCTTTGGCTTTCTCTTTAAAATTCTATACAAAGTCACATTTGAATGGGATGATATTTTTCTATTCAAATTTTCTGCATAAATATTATATATATTGCAGAATATTTTAAAATGTATCAATATTTTTATATTCAAAAATTCTGCTTTGAATTTCTATATATTTTAGAGTGCCTAACATGTGTGTTATTATAGTATATTCGTCAGCGAAGTTAATAAAAATATATTTGCTTATATAAATATTTCAAAAATCAATTTCTAGAATTATATAAATACCTTTATTTATGAATATGGATTAAGTTCTACTAAAAATTTATTATACATGTATTTTTCTTTCTTTTACTTCATAATTCCCCGAACAACCGCTGGCACATTTTTTAGTAGTTAGCTAGTTAGGCTCCATGAAATCCTCGTTAGTTTCTTGCCATATTAATTTTGCAAGAAAAGTTAATTTCACTAAATAAACCAAGGTTGACGGCGACTGCTGTTTGGGCTATTAGGCTAATGGGCTTGCATAAAACTTTAGCCGGGGCCCCAGAACAAACGAGCGGGCTGGCAAACAAACAAACCAACTGCAGTAAAAACAAAGCGTGTAGAAATAATGTGCTAAATGAACAAAGGCCCTAGTTTTTCGCCGACCCCTTTTTTGTGTTGTGTAGGGGGCGTGGGCAAATACTTGCAAAATACAAATAAAATTAACTAAAACTCAAACTCAAAGCAAACTAGGATCCAAAGTCCAACCAAAGACCCGCCCGGTTGTTGGCCCAAAAGGCCACCGGAAATTTTTGGAAAGCGTTCAACGAAAAACTCTGAAATAATTAAAAACTAATTAAAGGGGCGGAGTGGAAGAGGCCATGTGGCATGCTGTTGTAAAACTTAATTAACTAAATGAGAGCCAGAACAACGGCAGTAGCAACAACTACAATAACAATAACGCCATGGAACTTGTTGTCCAAGCGCACACACGAGGCATATGAGTAATTTAATCATGTTTCATGCTGTCCTGGCCAAAACGAAGACGAAGGCGAGCCAGAGAGCTGCGTTTGTTGACACCCACAGAATGCAATTTGCGCCACAAAAACAAACAGAGTAGGATCTTGGGGGGATAAGGGGGGAAATAGTACAAGGCGAAGGCGGCTCCAAACGAAAGTCAAACAAACTTATATTCCAGATTGGATTTTAAGTTTCGGGATTAGTTGCAATGCTGCCGATGCCCTCAGCATAATAAGAGCCCGAGCAACATATGGGGAAAATGGGAATATTTACCAACTACTGGGATTCTTCTAAGCATGCATGTAGGGGATTATGTCTAGGAAAAACACTTTTCATTAAATATAATTTATAAAAATATCAAAGTTAGCCATGAAAACAAACTGTCAACTGTAGATGGAATAGTATGGAAATCGTTATAGTTTATTCTGGTCTTTCTTAGGAATCAAATCAAAATTTCTGAAAATTTTTTTTATAAAAATTCAAAATTTTTAGAACAGATAAAAAATTTATAGGTTTAAAATTTTACGAACATACGGAAGAATTGGTTTCAATATGCCAGTGGTAAGTATACGGGTTGATATGGTGCAATGTTCCTTTTAATCAAAGATATTCCATGATCTCCTGCAGATCAACACCTGTGAGATGTATCCGCGGCGTAGGGCCACAGAATTCTATAGAACTCCAAGGCCAAGAACCTCGATACAGAGCACACTGGCGGAGCATCCGAGGGACAAGCTCATCCCTGGACATATCCAGCAGCGTTACCCCAGTCCGCAATTTCCCCGCATCCTGCCACCACGCACTCCTTCGACGGCCAATATGCGGAATAGCTACTTTTCGTGATAAATTAATGAGAGCCTGGAGTTGAAAAGTAACTGAAACTATCGAGAATCGTGTAGGCCATGTCCTGCATTTTTCTGAGGGTAAAAAGGGCCGTCTCCGTATGAAAGTGTTGAAAATTTTTGTGAAATGAGAGACCAAACATATTACGTGTCTAAATTATAATTATACACAACTTGCAAGCAAACGAAAACCGCTGTCTCGCGAAATTAAGCACCTTTTTAGAGTGAAAAATTGCTTTAGCTAAACTTATATTCATTCGCAATTTAAAAAATCTTTTATAGTCCATGAATAAATTTCTAAAATGCTTGAAAAACATTCTTAAACAATCCTTTTCAGCTTTATAGCTTTAAAGTCGAGACATCTTACTTGTTGTTCTCGCCTTGCCTGGGGCCAACTTTCTGCTATTGACTTGAATATTTGCCTTTCCACTTCAGGCGTATCAACCCGCCAGGTAAGTTACCTTGGAACCCACTCTCCTCAGCACCTTACCCGGCTTCAAACACCACTTCATGCCCGTGCCATCAAAGTGAAATAGAAACAAACAGAAAAAACGATAAGGGTCGAAGGAGCCGGGTTTGTTCTACACTTCTTTCTTTGCCATCTGGCTTAAGTACGTTGTTTGCCCAGTCGAAGGCTCGGGAGAGAGCGGTACATGGCCCATATGCAGGCCAGCACAATGCCCAAGGAGGTGTGAGGCCGTATGATGTACATAAACAAGGACTCGGACTCGGACTCGCACTCGGACTGCACACTCCCTTCCTCCTTTCTTCTGTTGGCCATTAATGAAAAGCGACAGCTGCATTGGAGGAGATTGAAAGCGGAAGACAAAGCGAACTCCGGCGGCATTCATTTCTCACAAATGCCCCAGCCTCATTGTGGGCCACAACTGATTGCCACCGTTGGCTATAATTCATTTCCGTAGCTGCACTTGTGACCGATCCGGATCCGGAGACCGTTCATTCCCGGTTCGTTCTCGCAGAGTCTGTCTGCCTTCGCATATTGAAATCGCTTTGGCATAGACAAATCTGCAGCTTGAATTGCAGTTGGCGTGATTGAATGGCATTACTTTGCAACTGGCCGTCGACGGCTATATGCGATGGCCAGCTGCCATTCTGAATCCTTTGGCCACTGGCCACTCACTGACCACTCAATTGGATTTCGGGGGCCACGCATTGTGTGGTCATTGGCCAGATTCTGTCTTCATATGCTTAATTGAAATGCCGATGTCAGCGGGAGGCACACATAAGTGAAGCCAGCTTTTTATGGAGCAAGGTACTTGTAACATTTTCAGGTAAGGAACAGTAAGATAAATAAATATTAAATGTTTTACAATCGATTGTCTAAATGTTAATTGATTTAAACAAGGTGATTAGGTAGCTTAATTTCTATTTCTATTCAGAGTACCTTAGAGCTATCCACTTGAAACAGTGTCATCTCTTCACCTTAAACATTAAGAGATTTTCACATCGAAGTCCTTGGAGTGTGTGGCCCAACTTAACCGGAGAAATGCAAATTACCCTAAGACCCCTTAGGGTCCTGTGTTACCATTTCGATTGCTCGGCTGTTTATGCCTGATTAAAGTCAAACAGCAAACATATTCCAAGCTGCACTTACCAGACATTCGGACATAGCCAGATCTCTCGACCGAAAAGTCCGCCATAATCTATGCAGAGAAATGCTTGACAATCTCTTGTTTCGTGTGGCCCCAAATCCAGAATCCCTTGTGTCCTTCGTGCCAAGGATTTGCTTCTCATTAGCAAGAACTTCCCATTGTCGGTCTCATCGGGGAGCGCACGTGTGAGAAAGGATGGTCCAGGAAATGGGTTTATGCAACTGCTCTCCTTCGCTCTGCTCTGCTCCAAAATTATGCAAATGGTTGGAAATTTCGCATTGGATAATTTTCCTATTTGCACGTAAACCTCAATAAAAACAGGAGAGGAGCTAAAACAAAAACAAAAAAAAAGTATACATTTAAAGCCCCAAGGGACTGGCGGTGGCATAAAATGGCTGGCCAGCCGAAATACTCAACCGTTGTATAAATGCACCAACGAAAAATAAACGAAATAAAAATAGAAATAAAATAAAAGCCGAAACAAACTGCGTCGCATTTAATTAAAAATGTAATTACCCATGCTTTTCAACTGCCGCAGCGCTTCAAGCCGTTAGCCAAGGGCCATAAAAAAATTATTTCAGATATTTCAACCGAATTTAATTGTTTAATTTTGTTACGAACTTTACTTTGACTTTACTATCGCATCAAATATTTGTATTGCCCTTTTGGCTTTGACCAAAAATAGAACCAAAATTAAAAACTAACTTTGGTTGTCAAAATTTCAAAATTAATAAAAATATATATCATATTATTTACCATGGATCAGCCAAAAAATGTGGAATACTCCCTTTACCTGTTCATGGACGAGCTGAGTGGCGAGCGTTTGGCTGACTATAAGCTTCGTTTCGAGCAGCTCAACAGGAACGAACGAGGAGTCATCACGATAACCGAACTGAGCGATATGGTACGGTCAATGGGTGAGACTCCCTCAGACAAGGAACTCAAGGAAATATTCAAGGCCTCCGATTTGGACGGCAATGGCGAGATCGACTTCAAGGAGTATTGCTTTGTGATGGCACAATTCGAAAACGACGAAGAACGTGAGATTTGCGACATTTTCAAAATGTTTGATCGAGACGCCGATGGTTATATAAGCGAAAAGGATCTCTTAGAGCTATTGGATAACTCTGCTTTTAAGAGTGAAAGGCAGGCGGTCAGGCGATTGATTGATTCTGTTGATTGCGACGGAGATGGCCAAATAAATTATGATGAGTTTTTGGCCTTGATGAAGAGTGCTCTTGACTATCCAAGTCTTGAGTGAAGTTCTCACAGAAATGACCGATTTCGTTTCTAAAATATCAGGTTTTTTTTATCAGAAACCCATTTTATCCATTTAAATGGTAAACATATATAGAAAATAATAAATTAAAGATTTAAGTTTTCGAAATATATGGAAATCTTTATTCATTTTCTGTTTAAAAACCTGTGGAACTTTAGCCAATCTAGTGGTATCTGTTTCCTGTCATTGTAGTTAAGTTTTAGAAATTCTTATAAATTGACATGTTTTAATTGAAAGAACAATATTTTACAATTTTTATTTTCTCAAAATTTTAAGTGCACTTTTTTGGCTCTGGAAATTTTTATTAGTCATCATGGATGATGTTGATTTTAGCTCACCGCCGCCCGAGACACGCACCATTCACACCCACAACCTGAAGGACGAGCAGGTCAAGGACCTTCAGCAGGCATTCAGCCTCTTTGACGACGATGATACCAAGGTTATTCCCATCAAGTACTTAAGGGATATCATGCGAGCTGTGGCCCATAATCCATCAGAGAATGAACTGCAGGACTACATCACCGAAATCGATACGGACGGATCGGGGGAACTGTATCTCAGCGATTTCCTGTACATTATGTCCAAGCGTTATGAGAACACAACGCCCGAGGACGAAGTTGTACTGGCGTTCCGAGTCTTTGACAAGGATAATACTGGTTTTATTTCCGAGAATCAATTCCGTCAAATAATGAATGAATTGGGTGAAGATATGGACGAGGATGAAGTGGAGGAAATGATACGCGATGCAGACGCCAATACGGAGTTGAATATTGACTATGTGCGGTTTGTGACAATGATGATGGAATCGTAAGATGATCTTACTGGGTTTTAAAGAAGGGTAGGTACCTAAACAAATAGTAATATTTAATTGATAATAATTAACTTGAAAATGTTTACATAAATAACAGAACTGTGCAACTATTGGGTGCTTTTATCAACCTGACTGAACTGATGTTCCAAACTCGACAACCTGATGCAGTCCTTTGTATATTGGATCAAACTTTTATTTATTTTTACTGAAAAAAAAATAGTTTAAATGAAAAATGTAAAGTCCAGATATAAAATATGAAAGAATAGTGTATTTTTCCTAAAACTTCAAAGGGACTGTTTTCCAAAAATGTTTTAAAAAATTGTAGTGATCTTTAGGCTTTAGTCCCGAAATTTCCAGTGCCCCAACCCCCCTGCTGTTCGCCATGGAGTGGGAGTTCGACACTCCGCAGCCAGAGGAGCGGATCATTCGGCCCAACAACCTGACCGATGCCCAGTTGAAGGATCTGCAGATGGCCTTCTCCCTGTTTGACGAGAGCGACGACAAGGTGATACCCATAAAGCAGCTGCGACACCTGATGCGCAGTGTGGCCTGCAGTCCCACCGACTTGGAGCTGCAGAGTATCCTCAATGAAATCGATCCGGATGGCGGGTGCGAACTCTATCTCAGCGACTTCCTATACATCATGTCCCAAAAGTATGCAAATATGACACCCGAGGACGAGATCATAGGTGCCTTCAGGGTTTTCGACAAGGAGGGCACCGGCTTTATAGCAGAATCAGAGTTCCGTCACATTATGAAAAATATGGGAGAGCAGATGAGCGACGACGAGGTGGATCAGATAGTCATGGATGCGGATGCAAATATTGAGGGAAACATCGACTATGTACGATTCGTTGCCATGATGTCAGAGACATGAGGAGATTTTCGTCAAGCAGGCGATGAGTTCTGGGGGGTTTGGGACCCTGACATGCCAGTCTTCAAAACATTTTGGCTTATTATTCGAAATTGAAATAGTCTGTGGACTAGAAAGCAGTTTCTTGGCATATAAATAATTGCTTAAAGAAAATATACATATCCCACAATGAGCGAGCTAACCGAGGAGCAGGTGGCCGAGTTCAAGGATGCCTTCACCCAGTTCGACAAGGATGGCACCGGCAAAGTCGCCACCCGCGAGCTGGGCGCCCTGATGCGTACTTTGGGCCAGAATCTGTCGGAGCCGGAGCTCCAGGACTTGATCAGCGAGTCGGAAGCCAACACAAGTGGAGAGTTTGACTTCAATGAATTCTGCTCGATTATGACCAAGCAGATGCGGGAAACCGACACCGAGGAGGAGATGCGCGAGGCTTTTAAGATCTTTGATCGTGATTGCGATGGCTTTATATCGCCGGCCGAGCTACGTTTCATAATGATCAACCTGGGCGAGAAGGTGACCGACGAGGAGATCGATGAAATGATCCGAGAGGCTGACTTTGATGGCGACGGGATGATCAACTATGAGGAGTTTGTTTGGATGATAAGCCAAAAATGAAGTTTTGATTGTAACACCAAATAAAACATTTTACTTAAGAGATCATTAAAGTATTTTTTTATATTATTTGCTTTGATGATAATCCAAAATAGTTTCCTTGACGCTTTATGTTGCGAATTGAGAGCCCCTTCAATGTGAATAATTTTTAGAGTATTCTCTGCTCTAGAAAATTTAATAACATTTCCACATTCCAGTAATTGTGGCTGGCTAGGGAAGTTCTGAGCTCACTTTCAGGTGAAAACTTTCAGCATGAAACACTCGGCGTGGTTTTAGTCTGCCTCCCCGTTCCGCTTTGCATGGCGCATGTTCTTTACTCCCACATGCGGCACCTTTGTGGCCAGACGAACAATTTTCCTGTTGCTTAAATTCAATTTGCTTATGCATTAAAATTAAATTTTACTGTGGCCTCAGCGGCCCCAATTCTCCTACAGTGCTCCTCCCATGCCCCTGTGCTCGCAATTCGTTTCATTCGGTCCTCGTGCTTGGCATTACTCTCCTGGGGACACCGAGGCTTGTGTCTGACTTTATAAATATTTCGTTCGCATATATGAATTTCCCATTTTTTGGGGGCACAAGTTTCGGTTTCAGCTCACAGACACGTCAAAATGCCAACTTGCTTAATTGAGAGTCCATACAAAACATTGAGACCGAAACGAATCGAAACGAAACGCATTGCAACGAGGGCTTAACTGCTCTGTGCATCCACATGGAATAAGAACAAAGACCCAAGCAGATTCCAATTTCAGATCTCTGACATCAATAAGCACTTACAGTGGCATAAATATTATATATACTCGACCGGGCAAATATATGTGTCTATATGCAGGCCAAACACCAATCGACATCGGCACTTCGCCACCTAGCCACCTCGCCACATAGACGACGAGTGAGTCGGTTTTCAGTTAGCAGAGAGTGGTAGTGTGGGGCACAGGACATGCTCGATGGACTGGCTGCAAAGGAAATTGAATTTGCGGGCTCAGGACCTGCTCCTCCTCCCCCATTTAGCACTATGGTTGGTGTGGGAAACTGCAGGCAGGATATTTGAGTTGCAAGCAAATCAGGAATAAGAAAAACAAATCAGAACCCAGAGTTTACTTTGAGTTTGATCAATGGGTTGTCTTTGGGATCCAGGCATTTCCAGAATTGATGTATGGATTCTCAACCATTTATCTGTTCTTTTTGGGCTATAATTTCAAACTGTTTTAAGACTAAGGAGGTCTAAGGACTCCAACTTAATTTATGATGAATTATTCTCAAGATTGAAGAGTAAGTTAAAAAAAACTAGATGCTTAGCTTAAGATGTATAGCGAGTTGGTGTTGATTTAAAACCAGTAAACATTCTTATATCTTTTTGTCCATATTCAATTATAAATAGAACAATAGGAAACTAATTAGAGACATCCTAAAGTCCAGGAACAAATCGAAAGTCAAGTGAAGGTATTTTTCAAGTTTGAAGACAATGGAAACCGGCAGGGGGATAACAGCCTAAATATAACTTCTTTAAAGCCTTACTAAATTAATTTAAATTAAATTTACTTAAATTTCTTTGCCTAATTGTATTTAATTTTTCCCAGTGAGTGGAAAAAACTGTCATTCTGCTGGCCCCAAAATGTTATGCACATCGATTTCTTCTAGGAGCCTCTTTTTTGCGGTTTGCCGCCCACGTTCCGCACTCAGAGGAGTGTCATTTTGGGAGGGGGAAAAGCAGGAAAAGAGAGTTTTGGGGGACGGAATGCGGATGGAACACTTCCGCACAGCCACTTGAATACGCAAAAAGGCGCATGCAAGTGACGAGGTCCATGAACAAGGACGAGTGTGTCCGGACTGCGGACTCCGGACTCTGGACTTTGGACTCTGCACAGAAAGAGGACTTTTGAGCCTGGGGACCGAGACTCTGGTGGATGCGGGACACACACACTCCGCACCACACCACACCACACAGGCTCTGGTCAAATTTGGACTGTGGTCCACAGTTTAAACAGTTAAAGTTATCCGTTATCTCTAATTGGGAGAGAAATGTGCGTGAATGTGGAGGCTTAAATTTTAAGTTGTTGATTTTATTACGTATACGCCTAGTGGCTGCGGCCAGGAACCCTTTTTTTTATTTTTGCCCAGCCATAACAAACTTACCCGCTTAATGGGGAAGCTTTCTTGGGGCTCTCAATCAAATGGGGGGAAAATCCAAAAGCTTTCGTCATGGGAAGCCGGCAAACCCTTTTCGGATTAACAGATCAACGCACAAATGACCCAAGCAATCGTCTTGGGTTTTCCCAGTTTCCCCTTTCGGTGTTTCCCTATTGCCCTTTCCCGTTTTATTTCTCCTCTCCTAGCTGCCATTTCGATAAGGCTGAAAGCTTATCGGGGCTGAAGGACTTTGACGACCCAATTAATTCTTGTTCAACAACAGACCGAAAAAAAAAGAAGAATTTGTTGGCACATGCATTGTTAGTCTACTTTTCATGTCAAGGCAAAGGGGGGGTTGGTCACGAGAAAACCTAAGTGAATAAAGTACAAAAGGAAATAAAAATGAGAAACTCGAGAAACGTTAAGTTAAATTGCGCGGAAAAGTTATGCGGCCCTGTCCCGGAGTTCCCTGAGTTTTTCTAACAAGAAACTTTGTTAAACATATTATTCCGTAGAGCCCTCGCCACGTTGGCTTAGCGAAACTACTTGAAATGTAAAAAATTCTCGAGCCCGAGAGTTGAAAAAGCAAAAACTTGACGGCAACTTTCAAGGCTCACATAATTATGCGTATTGCAACGCCCCAACCACCGATCCTGTTCGTCCTCCTCGTCCACCTATTGGTGGCAGGGGTGGCCTCTTCACAATTCGGAGGCAGCTACCAACAGTCGCGCTCTGGCAACTGCAGGCAGGAGGATCAGCCTCAAGCTCAGAACCTGAATGGCTGCGAGACAGGCGGCGGCTGCGGCGGCGGTGGCATGGACTCTGGCAGCAGCAGGTCCAGGCCCCTCAACCCCAAGCAGATTGCCTCCAACATTGCTCAGCAGGCGGCTCAAGATGCCAAAAAGGCTTCAGACACCCAAGTGCCGGCAGCAGTGGAAGCCGCCCGCCAGGTGAAGCTCCAGCTGGCCGACAGGGCTGGCGCAGCTGCCTGGGCTGCCGAGGCGGCTTTGGTGGGAAAGCAGCAGATTGTCGAACAGCTGCGAGCCGAGGTCCAGGAGGCGGACAGCGTTTTTCAGGATGAGACCGCCTCAGTGAGTGTATCACAGGTAAGAAAAACAGGCTTCTGGCATTTCTTTAATATATTTATATACACTTTTTGCTAACCTTAACTCTCAGAACAATCTGAATACCGCCATCTGCACAGCGAAGCAGGCTAACGATTTAATGCAACAAATTCAAGGCATCTTAGGCGCCGCCCAGGAAACTGTGAAAAGCGCGGAGACAGCTGTTTGCAGTGCCCACGACGAGTTGCAAGAGAAGAACAAACTTGTGGACGCTGCTCAACGTCGCGTAGAGTTGCTGCTCCAGGAACTGCGTAATGCCAAGTTGGACTATGATAACACCAAAAAGTCCGCTTACAAGGCTGCCTGTGCAGCAGCCGAGGCCAGGCAAAAGGCTTCAAGGGAGCGGCGATCGGGAAAGAATTATAGGGAACCACAACACTATCAGAATCTGGCACGAGAACAGTTTCAGGGAGAAGAGCAGAAGCACCAGCAGACACAGGTGCAGGCGCCTTTGCAAGAGATCAGAAAGCAACCTGAAGAATGGAAATACAATCAACAGGTTAAGGCCAAGTTAGCAGCCGAGGAAAGACTAAAGGCCTTGAAGCAGCGACGATCCCCGGGAAATAATATGAAGGCTTATAGGGAACCATTGCAAAAACATTATCAAACACAGAACCTCGAGCAGAAGTACCATCAGATGCAGGCGCCAGCATCGTTGCCGAAGGATAATGTCCACCAGAAGCAGCCGGAACAATGGGAGTACAATGAACAGGGTCAAGCCATGTTTTCTAGTTAAATTCCAAATGTTAATTGAAGCTTATGTTTTTTTAATATATTTTAAAGTAAAACTAGAGTTTATAGTCCCTGTTCCTAGCACCAACTCAAGTTTAAAGTTCATCAGAGTCGCCTAACCCCTTTTTTCAAATGAAAAGCCATGGCCCCTTGGCACTTCCCATGCCAAGTGCCTCGGGGACCAGGGCTTTGCCAATCGAAGAGTTGGGCACCGCAGCAGCGGGACTCAAAAGAAGGCCAACAAAAAAAAAGGGACACCAAACCCAATTGGCTTGTAAAACAATTTGACCAAAGCTATTTCGTTATAACTTTTGAATTTGTTCTTGTTTTTTTGTGAATTTCCTTACTTTTGTGTTGTGTTCGTTCTGCCATTTTCCGTGGGCGTGACACAATGGGGGCGCATTACAAAAGTTTCCACCACACGTTTTCAATAATGATTAGTTTCGGGTTTTCCATCGGGGAATTGACAAGGGATAAGGCCAAGAACATAAAGTTTAAAGTTTTTTTTTGTTGTTGTCTCGATTCACACTCGCCAGAAAAGTTGGCAATAAATAAATGTTTGCTTGTCAACGTATTAATTGGGTCATCAGTTGTGGAAACTGCCAAAGTTTTCCCCGGCTGCGATCCGTAAAAACTCACTGGGGAGCGGTTAACGATAAGGGTTTCGGTTATTTGTGGCATTCGATTGTGTACTTGAGGCAAGTATTATCTGGCCAGGCTAGGCAAGGCAGCTTTATTATCTGATTTAAGACAATGTATCTGTAGGATAGCCAAGACGGGCCGAGAAACTGCTCGATTTATAGTTTAGCTACGTTTTAGGAGCACTTGCCACCCGTCGTTGACAGGCGGCCAAAAAGGGTTCGATTGAGGGGCAGATTTCGGATTTTGTTGCCCTATTTTGTCTGGCTAAGGCACATTTTTGCACTGAAAGAAACATGGAAAAGAGAAATTATCCTTATAAGAATGTTTAAGAACTTAAATACTGCACAGAGCAGCAATATTTCTGATTTTCTAAGACAATCGTTGCTTTAAGTAAAAGCAAAGTTCTCTTAAATTGAATTTATTCTTATTAAATTGTACCTAAACTTTACCCATTTCTCTCTGTGCAAAACCAAGCCTCTGGCATTAGAGGGCATTATACCACATGTGGCCAAATCATCGCCGGAACCGGGCCCATTTGCCCATTCCGGACATTCTGCATTCGGCACTCGGATGCCAGATGCCATGGCCATGGCATTCCACTCCACTCCACAGACATCCAAAATATTTGCTGACACTTTAGTACCAAAGCAATCTGGCAATTGTTGATCGCTCCAACAACTAAATAAACTACTACTAAAAGTCAGGCGCAGGACCCCAGGACTACCGCTGGCCGTGTCAGTCAACAGTATCAACATAAGCCACAATGCCACGCCCCCAAACCAAACCAAACCAAAACCAAATCCAAAAGCCTGGCCCACAAACACGCCTCGAACTCGTCCGAAATGTATTCATTTCAACACTCTCCAATTCAACAAAAATTCTGAGCCGAGGGTGTGAGTCCTTTTTTGTTATCCGGGGTCCGGTTTCCAATTTGCGTCCTTGCGTATTTTTCGGGGGGGAAACAAATCAAAACAAATGAAATGAAATCAATTCAATGAAGCAAATCAAATTTCATGCGTATTTCGTCGCTTTTCCCCAACTTCCTCATCCTGGCGCCTGGCTGGACAATAAAAATTGTCGGCCCGAAATCGAAACCAAATCGAAAGCGTTGCCTGAAACTGAAACTGAGTAAAATCAAATCTGTTGCTATTTGTCGGGGAAATATTGTATTTATGGCTGGAATCCGGGGTGAGGGATAAGTAGCCCTTAAATGTGTGTGTTCGCGTGGCCTGGCAAAGACCATAAAAAATCTCAGGGAACAACATAATTTGAGGGGATTTTTCTTACACAGAAATGAGGGATAATATATACTATGTTGTTGAATCCCATAACTAATCATTGAATTAGTGATTTTATGTTTTGTTTTATTTAAATTTAACTGAATTTAATTGAATTTTATTAAAAGTTCACTATAAATTCCGCTCTTTCTACCTCTTTTATGTTTTAAATTTTTCATTTTAACATTTATATTATTTCTCCCAGTGCCACCACCCTCTCCTTCATGTATGTATTGTATTTGTGTGACTGGCATGCAAATGAAAATCGACAATAGCATAAATTTTTGGGTCTTAAATTGACTTTCGAACAAATACAAATGTTGCAAACTCCAGGAAGAGCTGCTGCTGTCAATGTCAAAAAACCAAACTTCGACTTTTGTCTGCCGACTGCTGCTGCCGGCTTTGGCTAGCCAAAGAGTCAATTTATTCCGCTCAGCTGGAGGCAGATATCATCGCATATCATTTACATTTTCACCTGCCTGTGGCTGTGAAAATTCTCCATGGTCCCACATCCGGGCATCTCTGCACCATTACTATTCGCTTTAATGGCGAAGCAGCAGCCGCCGCTACCACCGCTGATATTTGCGCATTAATTTCATATCATTAAACATTTGCCCGGGTATTATTATTTACCAAACTGGGGAGGGGGAGGGGGAGGGGAAGGAGTGTGGAAGGAGCCCGCAGTTAATTGGAAATGTTTTGTGGGTGGCGCTTTGGGGGTGATCATGGGTTAAGTGTAATGTACCTGGTTGCGTATTGAAATTTATGCGAACGGCGAACTCTGAATGGCACAATGTGTTTGTTTAGTTTAATGACGGTTATTATATCCCATTGATTAATTATTGCCAAAGAGGCGCAGAGCTTATGATAATGATGATGATGACGATAAAGAATTTGTTGATGTGGTTTTGGTTGAGGCTATTAGCTTGATTAAAGGTTATGAATATGTTGATTAATTGCCTGCTTATTGATTGATCTCTGAAGGTATGAAACCAACTTTTTCCTGTCGCTGAAATTCATTACTAATATATTGTATATCCAAATCAGTATAGAGCGGTGTCTATAAAGGATTCATCGTTAATAGTTATTTGTTATACCCTTGCAGGGTATTATAATTTCAGTCAGAAGTTTGCAACGCAGTGAAGGAGACGTTTCCGACCCTATAAAGTATATATATTCTTGATCAGCATCAACAGCCGAGTCGATCTAGCCATGTCCGTCTGTCCGTCTGTCCGTCCGTCTGTCCGTCTGTCCGTCTGTCCGTCTGTCCGTTTCTACGCAAACCAGTCCCTCAGCTTTAAAGCTATCTCAATGAAACTTTGCATATAGTCTTCTATATACTCTCACTGCTATATATGTCGGAACGGGCCGGATCGGACGACTATATCATATAGCTGCCATACAAATGTTCGATATATTTTTAGAAAAAAAATTATAACTTTGTTGTTTTTCAACATTTTGGCACCATTTTTTAGATATGACCATTTTATATTATTTTTGAATTTTGTTAAAAATTTTATGAAAATCGGACGACTATATCATATAGCTGTCATAGGAACGATCGGGAAATTAATATAAAAAAAATTATATATTCGTTGTTTTTCAACGTATTTTCATCTACTCCGGGATATAAGCTTATTTTATTATTCTAGAATTTTGGTATAAATTTCAAAAAAATCGGACAACTATATCATATAGCTGCCATATAAACCGATCGGTAGATGTATACAAAATGTAAAGCTGGGAATGCAAAACTGTAACTGTCAAACTGTAAACATAATAAGTATAGGTAAAATGTAATGAAATAATATCTGCAAGGGTATACAAACTTCGACGTGCCGAAGTTAGCTTCCTTTCTTGTTATTCTTGCAGCCATGTCACGGTCGCCAAGTTCTTAAACACTATTCGTGTTTGCTTACAGTAAACATATCTTCGATATCTCCGTTTTTTTAAACATATAAATAATGTATATAGTTAATAATATAAATAAGCTTTCTTTTATTATTTTATTTTATATATAAATTCGAATTGATTTCATTTTCTAACACGTCTTGCACCACACCTATATTCTCTAATAAAAATGTTCCCTTCTCGTACAAACTTCAACTCCCATTACATTTTGGAAACTTTCTTTTGGAAAATATTACTTTCAGTTGGGTTTTAATAAAATTCGCCAGAAAATAAAACTTTTGACGCTAAGCAAATGCACCCTAGTGACGACAATGGGTAACTTTATAAAGAGTGAAATGGGCTAAGGGAAAATATTAATTTTCCACAAACACTGAGACAGAGAGTGAGACAGGGAAAGGGTTTGGTTTGTTGCCCCTCCCCGGAAAACTATGAAAACTCATTTAACAAACTTGCACGGGGCAAAAGAGGGGATACAGAAGAAAAACACATCGCCAAATGCAAAACTTGTGTTGACACGACAACTGCCCCGCCCTCGAATACCGCCCACCTGCCGGATCACTAGAGTTTCTCCGGTAGGTGTGTGTGCTGATGTCTCTGGGTAAAAGTGGATTAGGGGAGAAAAATACACAGAGAGAAAATAAGATACAAAATTTGAATTCTAAGACCAAACTACCTTTAAATATGCATATTTGTCCTGCTTTGGAAGAAGTAACTCTCTAATAGAACAGATAATATTTCTGTAAATTATTATCACAAGCTTCAAGTATTTTTTTTTTTCAGTGCCCTGCACAGGGACAAAGTGTTGCCGTTTTGCTGTTGCTTCTACATTTGCCCGTGCCATTTCACTGACGGAGTGACAAACTTCGCACGTTGCACAAAGACGCTGGCGAAACTTGAGCAGATTACTCAGTGAACCCTTGGATCCCACTTCACTATCCCACGCTCTGCCCCTCCTGCGGCTATATTTCCTCGGTGCACTTTTTTTTTATGTGTAACACAAACCCGGTACTTAGTGAAAAGTGAAAAACCAGTGTAACAATGTTGAGCTTTTAACGGTAAATTGTTGCGAGAGCAAGACCAAAAGACAAAACTTTCCCCCCTATTTTTTCTTGTTTTTTTTTCCAAATGAACAACAACAAAGTTGAATGAGGTCGAAAGGTGAGGCGGAAGGCAGGCGCTGACTGAGTA